TTTTTTTTTTTAAAGAAAAACCGGAAGCCGAATTACCTTTTAAATTAATAACGGCGTGTGCCAAACTAAGCGTTTTGTTGTTGTTGTTTCACGTCGTCGTCTGCTACCATCAAAAAAAAAAAGGACCTTGGCCAAACTAAAATAGATTTTTGTTGATGTTTTTTTTTAGACTTTATCGAAATGAAAAAAAATAAAAAAATTTTTAAATCGGGAAAAAAATTGGAAAAAAAAAAGAAATTAAAATTTTCATCATCATCATCATCATCATTGACCTTTGTTGAATGCAATCGTAAAAAAAAATAAAAAACTGACCTCAGTCTTTGTGTTCGGTAACGTTAAATTTAATGTTGTTATTATTATTATTATTATTATTATTATTTTTATTTCTATTTAATTAGATAGAATTTTTTTAAACTCGTTCTTCGCCGCCATTTTTTTTTTTTCGCTTTGATTTTTCTTACCTGTGCGTTACGTGAAAAATGAAGGTCGTTGAAAATATTCGTTGCGCGACTTGTTTTTTTTATATATAATTTATAAAAAAATCGAACGTTCAAAATGGTCGTAAAAGCGCAATCGATGTATCGATCGATCGATCGAAGTTTAAAAAAATATAAAAACGGCTTGTAATTAATTAATAAAATTTAAAAAAAAAAAAAAAAAAAATATCGTGTCGTTTTTTTTTTTTTTTATGGGTTGCCGTGACACGCAAAATTTAAGTCTAAGGCTGGAACGTTTTTGTAATGATCACCGTTAAAAAAAAAAAAAAAAAATGGGTGGCCGTGATGATGATGATAATTTTTCTCTCAGTCTCTCTCTCTTTCTCTCTCGATCAGTTTGGGTGTTTAGGATTTTTTTTTCTAATCGTTAAATAATGTCGGTAAAAAAGCGTTTGTCGTTCTTTTGTAAATAAGGATCAACGCCCCCTCCCGGGTTTTGTCGCACAAAAGCAGGAAATAATGAATGTGTGCGTGTGCGCGTGTGTGTATGCGAATTAGAATGCGAGGTGTCTTTGACATTTGGGAGGTTTTTTAACGTTCTTTCATTATTTCCTTGTCATTGTTCGAACGTTACGCGAGGCAAATGTGTGCCAAAGACTTTTTTTTTAATTTAAAACGTCTTAAAATGCAATCGAATGAATCGTTCGTGACAATATTATCATCATCATCATTACTACTACAATGTTTTTGTTTTTTTTTTATAAAATAACGGCCTTGCAGTCGCAAAATTATTCATTTATTCCTTTTTTTTTTTTTGTTGTTCGATCGCGAAACTGATGACAGACACGTTTTTTGATTGGTTTATTTTTTTTTGCAAAATCTGTTGAGAATCGATGCGAATGATGATGATGATTCTCGCGGTTACCCCCCTCCTCCTCCCTTCGCTCTCTCTCTCTCTCTCTTTCTCTCCTTAAGGAGTAATTGTTTAAAAAAAAAAAAAGAAAAACGGAAGAAACTGACTGACTGACGAATACATCATCATAATGTGCCAGATGTTATTATTACGAGAAGGTCATCTCAAGTCGGGAGGGGAGGGGAGAGGTCAAAAGTCAATAAATTAATATTAAATTGATAAAAGTAATTTGTGTGTGTGCGCATCCGATTTTGATAATTTTTTAAATAATTGAATAATGATAATAACTAACGATAGAATGTTTTAAATAAATGTAATAAGTAAAAGGGGAGCCCTAACAGAAGAATTGAAGGGGGAGGGAGAGAGAGCGGGGGCGGGGGAAAATGTTTTCGAGCCAAAGTTTTAAAAACTTTTTTCTTATTTTTTCTTCTTTTTTTTTTTTCTCGCTGGAGAAAGCGCTAAAGGGTCTCTCATAGGTTTTGAATTTTTTAATTTTTTGCACGTGCGTGTGGGTGCGTGCGCGTGCGCGTGCTTTCATACATTTTAAAATAGAAGGAAGTATAAAATATGAATTTCGCGTGATAGCAATTAAAAAAAAAAATTATTAAGTAAATTAAATGCCTCGTCGTCGTAATTATAATGATGATGATGATGATGACCTTAAGTGGAAATGAGAGAGAGAGAGAAAGAGATAAATAAATAAATAATTGTCGTTATCAAATAGAGCTTTAGATATGATTAAAGTATTCGCATCTATATTCACCTGATAAACTCGCTCGACGACGACGACGACGACGACGACTATAGGAATTTGTAAAAAAATTTTAAAATTTTATTGTCGTCAAATAAAAAAAAAACTTTGTGATTATTGATAACCGCACCTATCTTAAATAATAATAATGATAATGATAAGAGTGTGCAAAACGCATTGAACGAATGAAATTTGAATTTCTGATCACAAAATATGAGGAAAATTTGACGATTTGTGTCGGTTTGCGGCACGAATGGGGGAGAAAAATTTTCCAGGAACTCACCGTACGTTTTTTTTTCCAGAATACGAAAATGGAAAAAAAAAAACGAAATACGACCGTGAAAAGAATAAAAATTAAAACTGGAAAAAAAAAAAAAAAATTTTATTGGATTTTCTCCATACGTTTTCGTGGCATTATCGATTTCGGATGAAAAACGATCAATAATAAATTGTTTTTTTTTTTTATCCAGTTTTATTTTTTATTCGTTGTGTCGTGCTTATTATTATTATTATCATTATTATTATTATTATTATTATTATCGTCATCATCGTCATCGTCAATAAAACTTTCTATTGCGAATTTTTTTTTTTTTTTTGTTTTTTTGTTGAATTTTTCATTCTGCGACTTTCGTTCGTACACAATAAAAAAATTAATGGCTGAGTTTGATGTGGGATTTTTTAACGTTTTTTTTTCTTATATCTCTTCCTCTCTCTCTCTCTTTCTTTTTTTATTAATATTTTGCTCGAAGTGCCGCGCACGTATCCCCCCACCGACTGTTTTCGATACCGAAAAAAAAATCGTATAAAGCCGATTCTTCTTCTTCTTCTTCCGGTTTCAAGACGGTTACGCTATTTTTTTCGTTCCGCGTTTCATGTGCTAAAATAGGGAGTAGGGGGAGGGGAAGAGGGGATGGGATGGAATAAGATGAGATGAGATGGGAGAAGAGAGAATGTGACAGAATATTGGAAATTTTTTTTTTTTCCAAGTTATATTACAATAACACGTGACACTGTTAAAAATAATAAGTTATTATCAATAACTTATTATCAGTAACTTATTATTATTATTATTATTATCATTAATATTAGTCATATAAAAAATTTACGAGGAAATAAATTTTTTTTTTTTTTTAAATCAATTACGTTTTGATAAATAAATTAATTATTATTGTTACACTCGACTCTTATTTAGATTTATTGCGATTAATAATGATAATAATGATTACGATGATTATGATAATGATAATGATAATGAAAGTAAAATAAATAAAAGAAGAAAAAAAATTTTTTTTTTTTTTTTTAAATTAAATATTTTGTCGTCGTTGTCGTAACGGATTCGATTTATTATATCGAAAATGATAAATGAATCCCTGTCGAGTTTTTTTTGTTTTTTTAAATAATTTACGGAAATTTATTATTATTAATATTATTATTATTATTATTATTATTATTATTATTATTATTATTATTATTATTATTTCGCATCGATAATTTTACCTTATTCGAGTGTTTACGATAAAATTTGATAAGGAAAATTATAATTTTATTATTTTATTATTTTTTTTATTTTTTTTTGAATTTTGAAGAAAATCCTCCACTTTGTAAAGAGAGAGAGAGAGAGGGGAAGAGGGGGAGGGAACACTCGTGTAAAAAGATTAAAATGAAAAAGATGTTTGAAATTTAAACGGTCGGAGTGTGTGTGTGATAAGGAGTCCCATTTACACACGCGAGTAAACGAACGAACGTTCTACGTCACACGTCCTCAGAAAGTTCTTAACTTATCAGAAAATTAATAAAATAATAATAATAATAATAATAATAATAATAATAATAATAATAATAATAATAATAATAATAATAATAATAAATATCAATTTGTTTTTTTTTTTTCATGTAATTTCGAGTGGAAAAATCTTTAAAACTCGAAAGATAGAAAAACGTAGAAAGAGAAAAACTTCGATCGAAGGATTCGATTCGCGATTTTTCGATTTGTAGTTAAAATAAGGTCGGTTTTTTTTAGAAAAACTACAACTTAAAAGAGAGAGAGAAAAAAAAGTAAAAAAAAGAGACAAAAAGTTCGCAAGAAACAAAAACAAACAAGCAAAACAAAACAAAAAAAAGAAAAATTTTGAAAATGACGGAATTAAAATTCTTTCGTAATTAATTTTATTAATGTTATTATTATTATTATTATTATTTCGTTGGAAGTCGAAAAACTCGAAAACAAAACAAAACAAAAGAGAAAAATAATTTTTCAAAAAATTTAATTCGATAATGCAAAAGAAGAAGAAGAAAAAGAAAAAAAAAAGGTGGGAAAAATGTCGAAGGACGACAACAAGTCGAACGGGCGTGAATGAAAAAAATAACTTTGAAATTTTCTTTTGCGAGATTGTTTTTGGACGGGAATGGGAAAAGAGGAGGGGAGGAAGGGGGGCGAAATGGAAAATTTTTGGGAAAATGGTATGAATACAAGAGGAAATTCAAAAGAAAAAGAAGAAAAAGAAAATCAAAAGAAAGCGGAAATCGGGAAAAAAAAATTTTTTTGCCAAAGAAAAATTTTTGCAAATTTTTTTTTCTGTTCCTCCCGTTCTTCCCACTCTCTCCTCCCTTCCTCTCCTTCCCTATCCCGCCCCCTCTCAATTATTTTTTCTTGTCAAAAAAAAAAAAAAAAAAAAAAAAAAAAAACAATTTTTTTTCTTCACATTCACAAAAAAAATTGCCTGCCTTTTAATTTGTTTCTTTGACTTTTGGCTAATGATAATAATAATAGTAATAATAATAATGATAATAATAATAATAATTGTTTTTTTTAATTAGTCAAATGGTTATAATTGATGGTGACGGATAAGTTTTTTTTTTATTTTTTTGGCAACTTTTAACGTTGGAAAATGAAAACGTTATGAGACCGAAACGCATTTTGTTTTTTGTGAACAAAGAAAAAAAAAAAACGCCATCGAACTTTTGGGTTGGCAAAACTGAAAACAGGAAGTCATTAACGGCAAACAAGTGATTTTTGTGTGTGTTTGCGTGCGTGCGTGCGTGCGTTATTATTAATTAATTAATTAATATTTTTTAATTGCAGACAGAGAGCGAATGCTCAAGAGGCGAAGATGATAGAGAGGAACAAGAATGTTTGAGTCCTCCGGACGAAGATGTTCTCTCGTATTGCGAATACCACGACGTACCAGCACCGCCGGACGGCGGTTACGGCTGGGTCATTGTTTTCGCCAGCTTCATGTGCAACATGATCGTCGATGGCATCGCTTACACTTTTGGAATTTTTTTAGGAGAGTTCGTTGTGTATTTTAATACGGGTACCGGAACGGCATCATGGGTCGGATCCCTCTTATCCGGAATGTATTTGTGCGCAGGTAAATCACCTTCCCCCTCTCTCTCTTTTTCTCTAAAAAAAAATTGACTTTTTTTTTTTTATAAATGTTTGAGCCTTTTGGGAAACACACAAAGTTTTCTCTCCTTCTCTGTCCCTCTTTCTCTCCTCCTCCTTTCCTCTTTCCCCTTCCGCGCTTTTTGTTTATACTTGTCATCGTTGCACATTTCAAAAGAGTTTTTAATGAATGTTTTCAGGTCCCGTCGTGAGTGCTCTGACGAATAAATACGGATGTCGAGCTGTTTGCATCGCCGGATCTATAATCGGATGCGTTTCCTTTGCTTTCAGCACATTTTCACCCAATATCGGAGCTCTCATGATGCTCTACGGATTTATGGGGGGTAAGTGCACTAAAATAATTAACAACGCACGAACAAAAGTAATTAAAACGAGAGGAAAGGGATGTTTTTCCCGAGAGCGTGACCTTTGATCACCTGGGGCCGAGTGTCGAAATATCGTCATATTGTTATTAAGTTCTCTCTCTTTCTTCCACGATGATTTTTGCTTCGGTTTACATATTAAATAAATAATCGTCGACGGCAGCAAATTTTTTTTTTTATTTTATTCAAATATTAATAATAATTGTCGTCATTCTGGTGAAATGAAATTGTTTTGTCATCGAAAGTAAAAAAAAAAAAAAAAAAAAAATTGTTTCGCCACGGATTTATTATTAATATTTAACGAATTACTCAGTGAGCAACATGGAAATGATTCATTTCCTCTCTCTCTCTCTCTCTTTCTTTCGAATCCCTTTTCCAGCTTAAAATAAATTACCAATTGTTTGTTATGTAATTTTGAGTGGACGACGATGATGATGACGACAGAAAATTCTCTTGTATGGGTTGTGAACTCTTTTTTTTTTTTTTTTTTATTGAAATAAATTATTTTAAAAATAATTGTTCTCAAAAGATTCATCATGGCTTCTTTTTTTTTTTTAAACAATTCGAAGGGAGAAAGAAATTTATTTAATTGACAGAGTGCCGTGGGAGAAACTTTTATTTTATTTTATTTTATTCTTTTTTTTTCGAGTGGATTAAATAGGGTTGGGAGGGGGTGGAGGGAGGATGACCTATAAAGAAATTTTAATTTGTGATTCATTCGTCATGAAGGAGAAGGAGGAAGAACAAAATGGAAAAATGGAGGAAAAGGTTGAAACGCAAAAAGTTTTTATTGTTTTCTTTATAGCCATCGGACGCATTGAATGGTTTTCCCTTCGGTCAGGTTGGGGAGCAGGCTCGTAGGCGAACGTAACCTTCGATATATCGCTTATTAAAAAGCAAAAAGTACCTCGTAAAACTTTAAGGCAGGGCGAAACCTTGAACCGTTTTTTTTTCTCTCTCCCTCTCCAATCGTAATAATAATTTACATCGGTTAATTAACGATCCGTCAATCAAAATCAAAGAGAGAGAGAGAGAGAGAGAGAGAAAAAAAAATCTGTCGCACAAAAAAAAAAAAACAAAGGAAAAGAGTAAAAAAAAAAAAAAAATTTCTACGTGAACGGGGAAAATAAAGAAAGTTCGGAAAATGGCGCCCCGACGTCTCACCCGCAATGGCGCCCATTTACAACGCGTGCTCTTCCGCTTGTGTTCCCTTTTTTTTCTTTTTCTTTTTTCCTTCTTTCTCTTTCTTAGCAGAGATATTTTTGCAGGGAACCGCCGTTAAGTTCGCCATTTTTTTTTTCTTGTTCTCATTCTTTGGATTTTCAAAAAAAAGAAAAAAAAATTATGGGATCAAGGTTGAGGGGAGAGAGAGAAAGAGAGAAGGATTGCGTGGTTGCGTTTGTTGTTGTTGTTGTTGTTGTTGCGATTGTTAGGAAATAATTGGCACCGTTGTTAAACGTACATTCGAATTAGGAAATCAATTTTCTTTCCATTATTGTGGATTTCGTTTTTGAAACGGGATTTTTTTTTAATTTTACGTTTGAGTCGAACCGTGAACTTGAATAATAATTATTATTTAACAACAACAACATGAAAAACATTAACAACCTTGAAACTCGCATAATAATGTTGTTGATTCGGAGTCAGGTAAGAAAGTTTTTCATATACAAAAGGTGTTCTCCCGGGTACGCGAATCCCCACCCCCCCCCCATTATTATTATTATTATATTTAAGGCTCGTAAAGAAAAAGAAGTACGACAAATCTCTGTTCGTTATTATCGTAATTGTTTTTTTTTTAAATTTAAACAAATCAGAGATAATATTGGTTTATCACACGCGCACACACGTATTAGCGACCTTGAAGATTATCTTATCGGTTAGAAGAGAGAGAGAGAGAGAGAGAGAGAGAGAGAGAAAGAAAGAGAGAAGGATAAATTGTTGGATATAGAAAATCATCCGATGAAATTTTCTTTACACGAATTTTTTTTATTTATTTTTTTTCGCTTCCTCGTTTGTAACATTTTTTCTCTCTCTCTCTCTCTTTCTCCCCCCCCCCCCGATGAACCGAACGTCGAAAATCCTTTTGTTTCGTATTTTTTTTCTTTTTATTAAGAAATTTGCCTTTTCGACCTTCAGGTTTCGTTTCGACGTCAAGGTTTTTTTTTTTTTTTTTTAATCGAATACAAAAAAGTATTCGCACGATTAAACCCGAAACACGATTTATTATTACCATTATTATTATCATTATTATTATTTGAATTTTCCCTCGGGATAACGATGAAACGGGTAAAAAAAAAAAAAAAAAATTACCGGAGCGATTTAAAATAAAAAAAGAAGAAGAAAAAGGGATTTTTAATTATTATTATTATTATTATTTTGTGTTTCACTCGAACAATACGAAATTAATGAGGGGTTTTTCTTATGGAAAAAAAAGGTTGATTGATAAGGTTATCAGTGAAAATTTTTTTTAAAGTTTTCGTCTTGTACTTATCGACACGGGGTCTATATTCCTTCGGATCACTCAATTTTTGTCATTCGTTCCCGGGGATATAACTCAAAAAAAATCCCCCCATTCCCCCGCCTTCTCTCCCCCTGCTTCGATACTCATGCGATTCGATGATTAAGTTAAAATTCTAAATATTCAAACCCGAAAAAAAAAAAAAAAAATTGTTTGTTTGCGTGTGTGTATGCGTGCGTGTACGCGCGTGTGTGTGCGTGCGTGCGTTTCCTATGAAATAAGATCGCGTGGAGGATGTTTGTTTTGCTGTAGTTGACGTATCGTAGTTCATCGTATCGATTTCATCATAAGTGAATGACAAAAGTTGTTGCCACGATTTTCCGGGGAGGGGGGAGGGGGAAATAACCGTGAAGATTTGGTTCTCGTCGTCGATAAATTAAACGAAACTATAATAATAAAAAATAAAATTTTAAAATTATTTCCGGTGTCTCAATTTCTAACGCCACGACGAATCGAACGATAAAAATAAAAAATAAAAAAAATTGCGTGTTAATTGTTTGATTTTTCACGCGATGGAAAATGGTGAAATTTGAAACAGGGCGGAAACGCGACAGGTACGGCGAAAAATTTCAATTTTGCTTTTCCATAATAATAATAATAATAATAATAAACCGTCGGAAAAATCATTATCATTATTTTTTATTTTCGGTTCGGAGGTACATTGCGGGAAAGGTTAGTGGTGATACAAAAGACCAAATTACAAACGTTTTTTTTTTTTTAAATTTGGCCAACCTGAAGTTTTTGAGTTGCTTTTCCTGTCGTACGAAAGCAAAGTACGGGGGTTCAACGGTTTGTTTAACACAATTAATTCAAATTTAAAATCAAGACGTGGTATTATAATAATAATAATAATAATAAAATCTGGAATTGGCTAACCTGTTTTTTTTTTTCTTTTTCCAAGTGTGAAAATCTCCATCGATTAAACGTATTAGATTCGCGAGTGAGTGAGAAAGAGAGAGAGGGAGAGAGAGAGAGTGAAACGTACGAATAATTTTTTATTCGCAAAAAAAAGCCAAGTCAAAGACCTCAAGGGAGTGAAGTAAAAATCGTGTCGACAAAATTCTAAAAACACGTTTTTTTTGTTATTTTTTTTGCAAGACATCCGGAGGCGGGGAGTAGAGAGGAGGGGGAGGGGGTAAAATTTTTTAAGAAAATTCATTCGATTGAAATCGTGTTTATTTTTCCAGAAAAAAAAAAATTTTTTTTTTTTCTTCCACGCTTTTGCAAACGTCGGGATTTAATTTAAAAATTTATCGTGATAAACGTTAATAACGATTTGCAAAAAAGGTTATTGATCTCTCCCCTGGAAAATCCTTTAGGGGTTAGGGGGTGGAAAAGGGGGGAAAAAGGTCGGGAAAGAGAGTGATGTCGAAAATTTTCTAACTCGTAAAAAATAAAAAAATTAGAAAAAGTTTTTTTTTTAAATTTTTGTTTAATTTAAAACTCCTCGTCGACGACGAGAGTAATTAATTACGCGTGCCGAAAAGTTTCGGTCAATTTCCATTTCGAATGGAAATTGGCACAACAAACAAACAAACAAATAAATAATAACCGTGATAACAATAATAACAACAACAATAACAACAACAAGGATAGTTTTTAAAACGATTATCATTCATTAACGTGTAAAAAAAAAAAAAAAAAAAAATTAACTTTGTGCCTGAAAGATGCTGAACGTTAGGGGGGGGAGTATATCTCATCGTCGAATCTCATTTCTTATTGTTAGTTAATAATCAGTTGTAATCCTTTCCTTCCACCTCCTCCCCCTTCCCCCGATTAACCTTTTCACATTTTTAATTTTGTTTTCTCATTTATTTTAATTTTTTCTATTTTCAAAACGGGCGTCGTCATTAAAACGATGACGATCCATCCATCCATTCGATCATCACCCGTTTGTTGTTTGTATTAAAATTTTTTGAAAAATGATAGAATTGAATGAAAAACAACGAAAAGGCGGACATGTTGTTTGTTGCATTGTTGTACGAAACAATTTTATACACTCTGAGAGAAAATCGATTGTTTATATTTTCCAGGTTATATTTTGGAATTTTCGAGTGAAACATTTTTTTTTTTTTTGTTACGAAATACATTTTATTGTTTGTCGTTACAGGTTGTGACGTAATAGTTTTTTGGGATTCGTTCGAAAATGTCACGCGGGGGGTCATCTGGAGAGCGTAAAAAAAAAAAAATTATTTAATCGTGTTCCAAACAATTTTTTTTTCTTCTAATATTTATTTAAAAAAACCGCCGAAAAGTAAAAATAATAATAATAATAATTAGGATTTCCGTTCGTTCGTTTCCTTGAATTTTCTTTCTTCCTTTTTTCCTTTAATTTCTTTTCTTTTTCATTCTTTCTCTCTTTCTCCTAAAAAAAAAAAAAAAAAAAAAATCGCTTGAAAAAAAATGGAAAAAGAAAAAGAGAAAAAAAATTATAATTATTATTATTATTCGAGAGTCGTTTCAACGTGAAAACTATTAAATTATTTGGGTCAGGGTCTGTGAGTTGAATTTTCTTTTTGGGAAATTAAATGTTGAACGTCGTCGACGACGGTGACAACGACGACGACGGTGGTCACTTTGACAAAAAACAAAAAACCTGAATTCAAAAAATTCGACAAGGCCGAAATAAACTTTAAAAAAATAAATAACCGTCGATTTATCGATAAATCGATCGATCGATAAATGAAAATTGATGTTTTTGCGTATGCGAAACGTTTGTTCTTAAATTAAAAAAAAAAAAAATTTTTTTTTTGTTTGTTTGTTTGTTGTCGGAGTCTCTCGAATTTCGTGATTCGAATAATTAGTTTTTTTTTTTTTTTACATTCGTCCCATTTCTCTCCATTTCCGCTCGTTTCTTTCCCACTTCCTTCCCCGCCCCGCCCCTCGAAACGGTTTCTGTGAAAAAAAAAAAAAATTAGTAATAATAATAATAATAATAAGCCCTTGTTGATTTAAATGCGTAAATCATGACGTCATGATGATGATCGTCGTCATCGTCGTCATCATCATCATCATCATCATCATCATCATCATTATTATTATTATTATTATTATCGTATATAATATTTTTTTGAATTTGACAATAATGAATTGGATTAAAGGTCAAAGGTTTTGCATTTGTATTATTATTATTTTTTTGCTGAATAAAATCAATAAATTATTTTAATTTTATTGATGTTCTTTCGTCGACAACACGAAACGTTTTTTCTTATCTTGAAGGCTTTGGAAAAATTGTTTTTTTTTCTCTTTGTCTTCTGCTTTATTTCCGCTCCAACCGGCAACGTCGCTCGCTTCCGTCAACGAATCGTTTCCGTCAGGCCGCGCCATAGGTTTCACGTACAAAGATTTTTTTTTTTTTTATTGCGTTATTGATGAAAATGAAAATTTCGTTTCGCGGAAAATTTAGGGCGAGGGTAGGAAGGGGAAGAGGGAGAGGGTACGAAAGAAAATGGAAAAAAATTTAAATAAAATAAAAAGAGAAAAAAAAAGGAAAACCAATTGTTGCTTGCGTTAGAAAGGTTGGATTTCGATTTTATTTTTATTTTTTTTTTTTTTTTAGATTTCCTTTGATTTTGTCCTTTTTATTTTAGGTCGCCCAATTTTTTTTTTAACCTCCCGTTCGGATTGTCTTGTTGAACCTTCCGTTCGCTTCCTTTTTCTCTTTTTTTTTTTTAGATTTAATTTTTAAATTATTTCCGCTTTTCCGGTAGAGAGAAAAAAAAAAATTTTCGACTTTGTTTCGGTTGTCTTGGCGTAATCCGATTTTTGTTTCTTTTTTTTTTTTTGTTTTTTGTTTTCGACTCGGTTCCGGTTCCGGTCCCTCATTATTTTTCCGCTTTACTCATTTCAAAAAGAGGTTTTAAGTATTTTGTCAAAGTGGAAAAAAAGGAAAAAAAAAAAAAACTGTCGCATGTAAATCATATTGTTTGCTTCATAAAAACACCGTAAAAAAAAATCCTTTTGTAAATTTTTTTTGTTTGTTTTTTTTTTTTTTTTTATAACTGAGAGCGACGCACTAAACAAACAACAATAAATGATAACAAAAAAAAGAAAATTATTATTATTATTATTTGTGTTTTATTTATTAACGGGGTCGAAGGTTAACGGTAAGTTAATATTGTTTCAGGTACACAAATTTGTTTTTCCTTGTTTACCGTATTTATTGTTTTTTTTTCTCTCTTTCTCTTTTTTTTTTTTTTTTTTTTTTTTTTTTATATAAAACGGAATTTTCGATTTATTTTTTTACATTGGCAGCACTGAAGTTAAAAAAAACGAATTTAGTTTTTGTTGTTTTCCGTGGAAAATATTTCCGTTTGCTGTGCAGGGATTATTTTCATTAGAAATTCTTTTGTTTTCGTGAATGTGTGTTTGTTGTAAGACAAACAAGAGCGAATGCGAAAATTTTCGAGGATTTTGTTTGTTTATTTGTTTGTTCGATGTCGCATCATCCTTTATTAATTTTCGAATCGTATATATTATGTATCGGGGGGCCATTATTGAAAACGATAAACGTTTTTTTTTTTTTTTATTATAAGTTTTATGGGGTTAATTGAATCATTGATCGTCGCGACGTCGAATGTCGTCGTAAATTTTGTTGTTGTTGTTGTTGTTGCTGCGACAGACGAGATTGGAAACGTAGTCGAAAGTCTGTCGGAAAAGGTTTCGTGATTTTCCTTTTTTTCTAAATGAAATGAAAATTTTAATTTAATTATTAATAAAAAAAAAATATTACTTCCGTTTTTTTTTTTTTTTTTTTCACCTTGTCACACTTAAAAGTTTCGTCCTTGTCGTAGTAGCCGGGATTCATAAAAATTAATTTTTTTAATATTATTTTCATTCGTTTGTTTGTTTGTTTTTGTTTTTGTTTTGAAGTCCAAAGTTAGCATTTTTGAACTTTTCTTTGCGTTTTCGTAACCTTCTTTTCTTCGTTTTTACTCACCCTTTCGTTCCTCATCATTCTCACGGAGAAAATAATTTGGAAAAGTGTGGAAAATGTCGTTAAAAACAAAAATTTGTTTGTTTGTTTGTTGCTCTGACATTTGTAAAAATATTTAAACACGTTTGCCGAAGCATTAAAGGGTGAAAGATTGGTTTTTTTTTCGTCAAATTAAACAAACGTTTCGTTGTTTGTTCGTCGGCCATTTTTCCTTCCATCTCGTCGAGATTTTCGAAGAGAGTTTTAACGATGAAACGAATTTCCTGTTGACGCTCCTCAGTAGCTTTTATCCTTTTTCTAATTTTCCCGCCTTCTTCATTTCAAACCGGATATGATTAATTTTTTTTTTTTTTTTTTTAAATTTTAATTCGACGTCAAATTTCGTCATGAGCAAAATGCGTGCGCGTGGGTATGTTTGCGTAAATAATAAATTAAAAAGGTTTCTTCGTTCGAATTGTAATAATTTCCGGGAGGAACCTTTCGAAAATGTAAACAACGTCAAACGGGGAGGGGGAAGGGGGCAGGGGAAAAGGAGAAAAGAAAGAAAGAAAGATTTCCCAAGAAACTTTTTTTTAAAAAAAAAATAAAAAAAAATTAATAAACGAGGAAAAAAACAAAACAAAAAAAAATTTAATTCATTTTTTTTTTTTTTTTGCAAAAATTAAAGCGTTTGTCGTTTGTATATCCGGTCAAATTTGTTTTAATTAATTATTTATTTATCTCATTTTCTACATTAAAAGAGGGATTATTCGTTTTTTGCATGTGTCCGTCAATCGAAGGGAAAACTCTGGAAAAGCGAAAAAATTAAAAAAAAAAAAAGATGAAAGAGGAAATTAAAAGAAGAGAAATAAAAAGAGAGAGAGAGAGAGAATGGGAATGAATTGAATTGAATGAAAAAGAATAATTCAGAATTTGATGAAACGAAATGAAAAAAGGTTTCGGGAAAAAAAAAAAAGGTTTTTTCGAAATCGTTTGCAAAGATAATGTGAAAATAGGCGATTAAAAATCCTTGAAAGAAAAAAAATATAAAAAAAAATTTCCAGAAGTTTTTTTTTTTTTTTGAAACTGTGTGACGTCACAAAGCGAAACAAACGAAAACAATTTAAAAAAAAAAAAAATTATATCGATCGTGAGGAAATAAGGTTTCCAACGGGAAATAGAGTTACGCAATTATTTTGTTTTGTTTTTCCAAAAAAAAAGGAAAACAAATACAAAATTTTGGAGAAATTACGTTATCTGGAGAATAATAAAAATGTTTTTTTTTTTTTTTTATTTTTCAGGTGTCGGATTTGGGTTAATTTACCTTCCGGCCGTCGTGTGCGTGGGTTATTATTTCGAAACTAAACGATCCCTGGCGACAGGAATTGCTGTTTGCGGTTCAGGTTTTGGAACTTTTGCTTTTGCTCCGTTCGTGACCATGCTCCTGGAAAACTACGACTGGAAGGGTGCCAATTTAATTTTGGCCGGTTTTATACTTAATTGCGCCGTAAGTTTTGCTTTTCTCTCTCTCTCTCTCTCTATTCGATTCGATTACGATAAATACGTCGTCTGCTTTTTTTTTTTTTTTTGTTTGAATGGATAAAATGATAATGATAATAAACGTGCGGTAATGACGATGACGATGATGATGATTCATAACAATGACGTAGTCGTTAACCCAAAATGATTTTTTTCGGGAAAATTTCTGGAATATTTTACCAAGACTTGAATGATAATAAAAAAAAACCGGGATTTTGATATCAGCGATTGATGATTGATGACGAATGTGTCCTCTCGATTGAATTCCGAGAATCGAACGCCTTTTTCTCTGTCTTTCTTTTCTTTCCTTAACTCTCTCTCTCTCTCTTTCTTTTCTTTGTTTTCCGTCTGAACGAATCGAACTGCGAAGAAAAAAAAAGTTTTTTTAATAGGAAAAATTTTGCATCCCGTTTTTCTCAGGTGTTTGGAGCACTCATGAGACCCTTGGAATTTCCAAAAGTTTCAACGCAGAAACCTTTGCTCCAGAGAATGGCCGACGAGAAAAGGTATCAAATGGAAAGAGGTTCGATAAGTGGATCGTTTTTCATGGTTCAACTACCGGATGGAACGATGGAAAAAAGAATGAAAATGCCAATCAATTACAATTACGATCCAGGAGTTCATTCGAGTTTTAATTTGGATCAATTGGTCAGTGGAACTAGACAATAAAAAAAAAAAAAAAAAAAAAAAAAGATTTATTGAAATATCGATTTGTACAAACAAAACAACAAACAACCTGGTTACGATGGGTTTTTTTTACTTGGCGTCTCGTAATAATAATAATAATTGCTTAATGACGTCGACCTTGCTTTTAATGTATATCTGCACGCGGAAAATAATATTTAGCTTTTCTGAATTGCCTGTTAGACTCGTATAAGATAATCGATATATATATATATATATATGTAAATGAAAAACGATTTTGATTTATTTTATTTTCCTTCCCCCTGCCCCCCGCGAAAAAAAAAAGTTTCACGTAATAATTTTTTTTGAAATTTTTGTTTTTAGTCTCAAATGCCGGGAACTCCGATCACTCCCATTCCGACATTACCAACAATATCCGAAGTCAAAGGTCCCGAACACACGGCTAACAATAAAGTGGCGGATGGGGGGGATTCGAAACCTGTCGCGGAAAGAAGGAAAAGTAGAAGAATGGATGAAATAAAAGAAGAAAGTTTAAAAGATAAAAGCAAGCAAGGTGGAGGAGGAGGAGGAGGAGGAGGTGGTGGTGGAGGTGAGTTTCGAAAAAGAACGTGAAGGAGAAGTGGAGGAGGAGGAGGAGGGGAGTGACGTGTAAGAGTGGTAAACATTAATTTTTTTTTTTGTTATGTGTATGCAACAGATGAAAACAGCGAATTCAACAACAAATCAAACATGCCCAGAAACGCATCGCAACCGTCGTTCACGACTCACGTTTCCGGTTTGCCCAAAAACGGTTCGGTACCATTTTTCGACAGGATACGTAAAACATCGGCGAGCGAAAGATATCGTCCGACCCTACAAGCCATTAAAAACGCGAGCAGAACTAGCATGACGTCGAACGGAGACCTTAAAAAATCAATGCACTTAAAATTGTCAACGGCATCGTTTGGAAACAACAATTGCGATGACATGTGGTCGAACGTACGTTTAATCCTTATTCTGTAAAGAGAGAAAGAGAGAGGTAAATAAATAATCATTTTGTCTCTTTTTTTTTCCAGGTGGACACGGAAAGCGTCGGTTTCGCAGCTTCGAAAGCGAGTTTGCACAAAGAGCGGAAAGAATTGGTTCGTCCTCTGTCCCGTAAAGATATTTTCTATTCGGGTAGCGTCGTCAATTTACCAGAATATCAAAGTCAAAAATCTTTGGCGAATTATCGTCAAAGTGTTGTTTCCCTTCCTAGATACGGTACTCAAACGGGAATGAGCATGAAAGATGTCGAAAGCGGTCCCCCACGTACGTATTTGTTTTCTTATTTTCTCCAAGATGGAGGAGGGTGGAACGAGCAATGAAATGAAATTTTTTTTTTTTTTCGTACAGCGGATTTGTGTCCGTGTTTGACGTTACCGGAAGCTTTCAAATCGGCTCTCAACGACATGATGGATTTTTCATTGCTCAAAGATCCCGTTTTCCTGCTCATCGGTATCAGCAACCTGTTCGGAATGGCCGGACTTTACGTTCCATTTTTTTATCTAGTCGATGCCGCAATCGCTCAAGTTTGTCTTCATTTTTTTTTTCTTCTTCTTCTTCTATTTATTTGAGATTCGAAAATGAAATTTTTTTTTTTTTTTTCGCAGGGAGTCACAGCAAGTTCGGCATCTTATTTGCTTTCCGTCATTGGTATCACGAACACTATCGGTCGTGTCACTTGCGGTTACGTTGCCGATTTCCCAAAAGTCGATTCATTATTTTTAAACAATATTTGCCTCGTCATCAGTACTTTGGCTGTCGCCGCAGCTCCTCTATGCTCAGATTTTACTTCTTACATTGCCATGTCCGTATTTTTTGGAGTTGCCATTTGTAAGTTTTACTATCATTATCATTATTGTTGTTGTTTTTTTTTTTTTTATTGATTGTGAAAAGAATTAAACCGATTTTTTTAATCGTTAATGGCATTTGAACCATTCGTAATTAAATGATCGTTCAATCGTCAATTAATCGTCAATCATTTTTCCTTTTTTTTGTTCTATCAGCTGGATATATATCCTTGACATCGATCATTCTCGTCGATCTTCTCGGATTGGATAAATTAACAAACGCATTCGGTTTATTAATTTTATTTCGTGGATGCGCCGCCATCGTGGGCTCTCCACTCGCGGGAGCTCTCTACGACGCCACCGGAAGTTATTCAATAACTTTTTTCATGGCCGCGGGATTTTTTGCCATATCCGCGATAACGAGTTTTCTCGCACCCGCAATGAAACGTTGCACGGCACCGAAAAAGACGATGATTCAACAGGACATACTCACGCCCATTGACGAAGACGAGGAAGAGGGAGAAGAGGAGGATATGGGTAACGGTGGGATCGTCATACCGGAAATTACGAGAACGGCACCGAGTCCGAGCGCGAGTCATCCGTCATCTATGGCCGAGAAAAAAGGACAACAAGAAATCGAACAAATCGAATCGGTTTTGTAAAGTAAAAGAAAAAAAAAATGATTTTTTAATAATCAAAATATCTGTGAAAATAAGAAACTTTTTTCGTTTTTCTGTTTTTTATTATTATTATTATTAATAATTTTTTTTTCTCTCTGTTCAGTAAATTTTCATAAAAATGAAAAAGTGGAAAAAGAATAAAAAATAATTTTGTAAATTTAAATTAATTAAAAAAAAAAAAAAAAGTTCAAGTGCTTGCCACGAACGAATTAATTAATAAGCAAAAGCACTTAAATTGATGATGATGATGATGATGATGTCACACGACGGAAAATTTGATGATTTTTTAATTTTTCGTACGTGTGCGTACACATACAAACAAACACAAACACAAACACACTCACTCATTTGTTCACAAACACACACTTGGACTCTTTTGGGAATAAAATTAACATAATTAATCAATCAATTTTCGAATCAATCAAAATATAAAAAAACGAAACAAAAATACGCGAGAGGTGTGGGGGGGAAACCGGAAGCGGAAGGAAAATCACACAAAATAAATTCAGGAAACGGATGCGGCAATAGAAAAAAATTTTTTTTATTTTTCAACGGTAATTATTTTTTTACAGGTTAATAATAATAAGGTGCGAACGTAAAATGTCGGGGGGAGGGGGGAGTGAAAATTTTATTCGTTTCAATTAATTAGTCTTCCCATATATATAAATAAATTTAAAAATTCGAAAAGGAAAAAAGGAAAAAAAGCAGAAGAAAAGAAAAAAAAAGAAAATTTTTTCCAGTATTAAAAAAAAATATTTGTTTCCGTTTGTCGCATCTCTCATAATTTTTTTATTGTTTCTCCATTTAGAAAAATTATACGAGCGCACAAACCTCCTCTCGTTTTTTGCTGTTGTTGACGACCGCAATATCATTGCTGTCGTCAAATACTTAATTAAAAAAAAAAAAAAGGAAACAACAGAAATGTATTAATCCTTGTACTTACAAATACAAATATGTCGTCGTTAATGGCATTTACACAAAAAATTGTAAATTTCATATCATAAGTATTTATTTGGTATTAATTTTTATTATTATTATTATTATTACAAAAGGGGCGTGGAGTGGTTTTATCATCGAGGCGTGGTTTTTAATAAAAATATTAAAAAGAAGAAAAAGAAAAAGAAAATATTCATGACAAAAGAAAAAAAAATGTTTGTATATAAAAATAAGGCAAACTTTTTGGGTTTAAAAAAAGAAGAAAATTACTATTGTTAATGATAATGATAATGATAATAATAATGGTGATGATGATGATGATGATGATAATGATGATTAAGATAATTTTAAACTTATTCAATCAGATTTCAAATAATATTAAATTTTTTATTATTAAAAAAAAAAAGAGGAGAAAAAATTTTTTTAATATTATGTACATAAAAAATTTTAATTTTTGTAAAATTGATCGTTATTATTATTATTATTATTATTATTATTATTATTATTATTATTTTCGACTTGCCGTTAAAAAAATTTTATTTAAAAAAAAAAAAATTAAGGAAATAGGAGGGGGAAAAAAAAAATTTTTAATGTTTTTTATTTTTATTTTTATTTTCATTTTTTTGTATTTTGGCTTTCCCGCCAAATTTTATTTTATTATTATTATTATTACTATTAATATGCGTTTTTATGTTTTAAAAAAAAAAAAAAAAATTTGAAATAATTATTTTAAATTTTTTTTTTAACGAACGCCATTTTTTTTTTTTAAGCGTGCCATGTGACCACACTCATCGATTATTTTCTTTATAAAAATTTATTATTATTTTTTTTATTTATAATTTATTTTTTCAAACGATTATATTATACGATAGGAAAAAAAATGGCATCAATTGGAAAAATGAGATAGATAAAGAGAGAGAGAGAGAGAGAGAAAATTTAATAAATAAATAAATTCCATTAAATAATATTTATTTATTATACGTTCTTTAAAGAAGAGCGGATATTGTTGGGCGATGGGAAATTTTATTTTATTTTTTTTTTTAAATGGTTTAAGGTCGCTTTTATTGTAATCATTCTCGCGTCGGATAATAGTAATAATAATAATAATAATAATAATAATAATGATAATTATAATAACGCACATTTATGTATTCGATGCGTGAATGACGAAATATTTTTTGGTCAATGTCCACCGCCGCCGCCACCATCATAATTATTATTTTTTAAGTACGCGTAAATGAATTTAATTTGGAAAAGATGTGATTAAAAAAAAATAAGGAGACCATATGAGGGTATAAGATAAATATAAAAGAAGAATGTTTTTTTAAAAAAAAAAAAAAAAATTAAAAAATTATGTAGTTAATTATTATAAGAATATTTATAAATATATGAATAATTAAATACAAAATATATTTTTCTTAAAATTCTTGGGTGGGAAAAAAAAAAGAAAATTAAATTAATTCGTGCTTTATTTTTTTTACTACGTGTGTAAATGATAATAATAATAATAATAATTACTATGATGATTATGATGATGATGATGATGATGATAATAATGATGATGATGATAATGATGATGATGATGATGATGATAATAATGATGATGATGATAATGATGATATAAATTGTTGTAAATATTTTATTTATTATAAAAGTGGTTGTTAGGTTTAAAAAAAAAAAAAAATGTAGGGTATAAATTTTTTTAAAATGTCAATTTTCCCGCCATTTTTTCCCTTTTTCTCTCTCTCTCTCACCTTAGGGAGATTATTTTTTTTTTTTGTATAAAAAAAATTCATTAAAAGTATAAATAAATTATTAGCAAAACACGAACAATTTGATGGTGGCATTGAAACTTTTTAATAAATATATATGTAAGTTAGTGTGTGATGATTATGTTATTTGTTTGATGACCTTTTCAGCGACCTTTTGACCTATTTGGGTCACTCGATCGTCGACATTTTGACACCGATCGGTTTTGACCGCCGTAAAAAAAAAATTAAAACCAACTTTCCCATCGCTCATCGAAACCATAAAAATTTATTACCTACCTGATCTCAGATTTGAATTTACCGGAAATGACCAAAATAATAATAATAATAATAATGATAATGATAATGATAAAATTGTATTTTTTTTTCTCTAATATTGATTAATTGATTGATTGATTGTCTTTGATTAAAGTTAATTAATTAATTAAATAATAAAAATTTTATATTAAATATAAACGTAAAAAATAAATAATAAAATTATTATTATTATTATTATTATTATTATTACTTTAGTTAATTATTATTATTATTATTAATTTGATAAGAGATAAAATTTTTAAAAAATGTGGTAGAATTATCAATTAAATAAATAAATAAGTAAATAATTTGTATTCGGTGTTAAGAAAATAAAAAAAATTTTTTTTTGTAAACATAAGTAAAGATGGCCGACGTGAACGCGCGCGCGCCCGTACGCACGTTTTTTTTATTTTTTATTAATTAATTAAAAAATTTTTATTTTTGTAGAAAAAAAAAAAATTAAAAATAAAAAATGTGCGTACGAGCGTTACTTACCACACGCGGCATACGAATAATTTTTATTTTAATAAATAAAATGGCGGCGTTATGAAAAGTATTTTATTATTTTTAAGGGGGGCGGATGAGGAAGGAAAAGAGAAATTTATTTATTACTTAATATTATTATTTAAAATGGGAAAAGGGGAAAGGGAGGGAAAAATGGGGGAAAATAATTAATAAATTTTTGTGTGCCTGTTTTTTTTAAATAATTTTTATTTTTTTTTTTGGGGGGGGGGGGTTAAAGTAGGAGAAAAATATTAAATGGGAGCAGTAAAAATATTGTTTTGCTTTTAAATTTAAATTTAAAATAAATTTTTTTTTTTTTT